AAACCAGACCCCTTAGTCTCAAATGAACAGTCATTCACTGCCTCACTCACACCTAAAATTAAGACCCACTTAAGCATGTAAAGGCGGATGAAAACTGCACAATTTCAGGAAAATGTGTGCATGGGAGCTTTTAGGTGGCCAAATATAGGTGACTTCCAAATTTAAAACTGTAAGCATTCATTGTCCCTTGGCCATCTACAGCACCTCAGAACAGGACCAGCTAGGAAGGGCTGGCAACCAGAGCTTGAGGACCCAGCAGAAAGTACACTGGTGATTTAAGGGGCAAGATTTGAACTGAGAAGAAAGGAAAAGACATTTGGAAGGATTCTAGTATGAAGCAAACTCCTAGACAGGGTTTCATAAAGTACCATCTTTAACGCCCTTGAGTGGCATTTTACAGTTAACCACAGGTCCCACATGTTGGTTCACATGTGAACGTAGACATGTGATATTAAGATCCCTAGAACAGACATATGCAATAAGGTAGGCAGATGCTGAATTCAGAGAGGTCAACTAAGGGAGACTGGGTAGATGCAGGCAAGGTCCAGAGTCCTGAAAGTTAAGGAAGCTGCTCCAACCAGGAAATGACGCTGGGCTTGGTTGGGTGTGATGGGCTCTGGGCTGACAGGCCATGGATGGAGACGGAGGGCTGTCAAAGGTCATTGAAGAATTGAAGGAAAATCAGGAGACCTCCCAGTTTTTGTAAATCATTAGTACTATATATAGATTCATTTTGTAAATCTCTAAGTACTATAATCAGGCCACCTCTCAGAGAATTCTGTAAATTACAGTCAGAGAATCTTCCAGTTTCCAGATGGAAGCAGATGAAGATGATGTGAAACCACAGCTTAACCTGTCTTTGCCATGTGCACATGTGTAGACATATACATATGTGTGCACACACTCACCAGATCCCTCCCCTCAGATGCACATCACTCTGTCACCCAGCCCTTCTTTCAGGACACCCCCTTATCTTCTCATTTTAAGTGCCCTAAGGGACCCCAGTGTGAGTGAAGATTCAGGATGCCCTCAGCTGAGTCTGAGGCTGGAGGTGTTTGCCATGCCGGGTGGCTTCATCATGGTGTCCAGGAGCAAACGAATGAGAGTCCAAGGGTAAGGAACACGTCTTGAGGAAGGCAGCTGTCTGTTCAGAGATGCAGGGAGGCAGTGAATCCTTCCAACAAAGGCTATTCCTCCCTTTTAGTTCATTCCTAGTGCTGCCACTGATCCAGAAACTGAGCCTAAACGCCTCATTTGTCCAGAAGTACATCTCCCCTTGATTGGGTAAATGGTGCCCAGTGACACAGTGAGACCTTCACAAGGAAGTTTTTTGCCTCTCATTGCTTTCCATGTTAAAAGGCTCTTAGTTCATCTTAATTAAAAGATAATGGGCACCGCACATACTATCTGGGAACACATCACAGCTTCCTTAAGAGAGGGCTTACACACTTAACAGGTTGGCAGAAATAGTGGGATGAAAAAGAGGTTAAGGGTGATACCCAGATTTCTGAGGTGAGGGTGTGTGGTGACCAAGGTAGTATTTTCATAAATAGAAACTGAGTTTTCAGGAGGAACTTAACCATCTACTGACCCGCTTCCTCTGCACGGGATTCCTCTAGATCTTTCATCCTCCTGCCTTCCACTGCTTTCCTCTCATTCCTACTGGCCTCTGAGCAATCTGACCCTTTCTCCCACTCCTAGTCTCCCTGTCTTGTGATAGTGCCCAATGTTAATCCCCTAATAAATACCTTACACTTAGGTGTATGACCCAGTGAGTTCTTCCAAACACTTTCGTATGTATCCTTTTGTTCTCTGCAAAACAACCTTCTTCTTTAACCAACAAGACACCTTCAGAGGACTGCTTTTCCCCAAATAGTAAAACGCGAAGACTGCTGTTTTTTGGCTGCTTTTCTTATGTGTTTCTTTCTGTTCATTTTCTCAGTCTATCTGACTTATTGTTGCTTTATTTTAGGTTCCGCATTACTCCCTGGCAAAGGCTAGCATATACCATACTCAAAGCAGCAAGCACTGAGAATGCTGGAAATTCGGGATCATGTTAGTCAGGAGTAAAGTTTACTGTACTAGACCCACGCACTTAGAGCTGTCTGACGATGGAACTTTAGGAGGTGGTGAGACTCGCCCATCAGTGGAGGTGTGCAAACAGCAACAGGATGGCTTTTCCATATATTGTAGAGGAAATGACGGATAGAGAAGATTAGATTGAAACCCCCTCTACTTCCTATGAATTTATCTGATTTTCTCATTACGTGAAAATATTGGCCAAAATTTTGCAGCAAAGAATATCTGATGGTTGGGATTACATGCCTGTAATCCCAGCACTTTGAGAGGTCAAGGAGGGTGGATCACGACGTCAGGAGTTCAAGACCAGCCTGGCCAAGATGGTGAAACCCTATCTCTACAAAAAATATACAAATTAGCCAGGCACAGTGGCAGGTGCCTGTAATCTCAGCTACTCGGGAGGCTAAGGCAGGAGAATTGCTTGAACCCGGGGGATGGGGGGTGGGCAGAGGTTGCGATGAGCTGAGATTGTGCCACTGCACTTCAGCCTGGGTGACATAGTGAGACTCCGTCTCAAAAAAACAAACAAACAAACAATAACAAGGATTGTGTTTTAAGAGAAGCCTTTTGTATATCTAAATTTTGATAGGCCTTCCCTCTTAAAAGTAGCCTTGGGGTGAAATTTTTTGTCTTCTTTTAGTTTTTCCTTCTTTTAACACTGCATAGTGCCACCCAGGTCTTAAAGCAAATGCCTGTTTGTAACTTCTGAAGGCAAACACTTCCATTAGAGCCAGATCCCTCAGCCAGAAGCTAGTGAGTCAGCAGAGGCCAGGCATGAGACTCAAGGGCCCCCTCTTGCCCCAGGAATGATTAGTTCTCTCTGCTTTTCCTTTCTTTTCAAATCTCCTGGCACTTTAAAGATCCAGTCCTCGGCATGCTCCTGGGCCCTTTCCCCAAGCGACACTTAGTTTCAGAGAATGAAAACTCTTTTCATGTTAGTAGCCTAAGGAAGCATTTCCCAAAGTGTGATAAGGGGAAGGCTTGCCTTAATAGGTGCTTCTGGTAAACAGGCCCTTCTGCTCAAATATTGCTGCCCATGTTCTTTCCCTTTGGAAAGTTGCAGTGTGTATTAATGTATTAAAAGTTTTGAGAAATCCTGCACAAAGAAATCTACTGTACTTTGTTAACCCAGAATTTACCAAATGTATTTGCTGATAGAAATATCTTTCTAGAACATTTATTTTGGAAGTGGAGGAGTGGGAGGGGAACAGGACTATGGCAAATCAGTTAGTACCTGAAATATCTGCAAAGTGCAGCCCGAACAAGACAAAAAGATCAGTATATCATTCACAATGGAGGGAAATGATTTCGGTTTCTGGATTATGCATTGTTTGGAGCAACTATGCCATGGTGCACATCTCCACCTCCAGGCACATTGACATAAATAACGGAGAGCTGGCAATATTGTCATCTTTCAGTAACAATGAGTCCTAGGTGCCTCCCTCTGGCATTAGTCTTGGATGAGTGTCATTGACTTACCTCCAAGTTGTTGGCTATTCAGGGCAGGATAACCTTCATCCTCACAACTGTGCCCAGTTCGTGCCTGCAGCTTCCTCTAGGAGCAAGGATATTTCATCTTCCAACTCCAGGGCATTTGTCCTGCAGCACCTGGAGAAGAACGATAACTCCTGCCATGGGATGCTCCTGGCAATTCACTTGGCAGGAGTGAGGGGCTCAGAGGCTCTCTTCACAAATCTCTAAATCAACTGGCCCATGCAGATGCAGGAGCAGCAGCAGCTGTTTCAGAGGCAAAGGCCATTCATCTTCTGCCTTTTTTTTCTCTTGTTTCTGGGGAACCTGGACGAGTGAAGGTGTCTGCCACCAAGCATTGCCTACCTGGGAGCTCACTAAGGTTCATGCAGGACTATGGTATATGCTGGGTGCTTTCAGAAAGCTTCCACGTGGAGGGCCGAGTTCTTTTATGAAAAGGCCTTAGAAGCACAAAGGTTCTATTTTAAAAGAGCTCATGAAACCCAAAGTTCCTGCTCTACAGTTTCTACTGTCATGAGTCAATACAAATCAAGAATTTATCGTGCCCAGTCCTATTCTAAGAACTGAGGGAGATTCAGAAAAATAGTATAAGATGGCGAATCTTAGCTTCTGGTTAAGTAGTAGTGATAATACCTAGGGGAGGTTTCAAGGAAGGGCTTTAGTTATCCCCCACCAATCTCTACTCTCCTCTTGAACTACTAAGTCTGAAATTTATATATATATATAAATATTTTTTATTTTTATATAAATATATATATATATATATATATATTTTTTTTTTTTTTTTTTAAGGAAGACTTGTCTGGTTAACATGGTTCAGTAAGTCCACGTGGGTGTTTAAAAGAAAAATCACACACTTAACATCTCCAGAGCTAAACTCTTTTCCAGCCTGCATGTGCCCAGTCTTCATCTCAGTTCACACCTTTGTTAGGTCTTTGCTGAAGGCTCTCTCTCCCCACCTTAAATAAAGCCCTCACTATCTCCCTTTGCTGCTTTATTTTTCTAGCATTTATCACTATCTGTCACAGTTTATGTCTCCCCCACTCCCCATTAGTATCTAAGCTCTTTGAGGGTATTTTTCTAAAAATCTGTTTGATACTATTTCATGGAACAGGGTCTAGGATACAGAAGGCACTCAACAAATACCCACGAAATAAAGGAACCAAAGAATAGTAACATTGTATATATGAATATACCACATGAGGCAGGTGCTACATATATGATTTCATTTCACCTTGGCAACCTCCCAAAAAGCTAGGTATTATAATTGCATGCCCCCACCACAATTAACAACAAGACCCAGGCCTAGAGAGGCTAACTAACTTGCATTCAATTAGCAATTATCTCAATCACATTTCAGACTCACACCTGGCTACCTCCTAAATTCATGTTCTCAACCACTCTACTCAATTCCTCCCCCTTACAGTCCTCCAGACAACCAAAGCTACCAGGATCTCAAAGGAAAGAGAAATGGGTCGGCGCAGTGGAAGATCTGCAAAAGCTTCCTCCAGGAAATAGAATTTGATGTGGACCAAATTCTAACAGGTAGACAAAATAACGGGTGGCACTCCAAGCTGGGGAGAAGCATGTGAGGTATGGAAGCAGAGCAATTCCAATGTGTTCATCCAGGAGTGGCTTAGATAGGCAACCTCCTCATCCCAGTTTGCCTTGGACTTCCTGGTTCTAGCACCAACAATCCTGGGTTCTGGGAAAACTGGGAGAGAGGGTCCCCTAAGTGACGAATAGATCAGGTGTAATAGGGTAGAGTGTTTGTCATGCACATTGTTGAGGAAATACTGCAAGTAAAAGCGGAAAAGAGTTTGGAGGCTGAGGAAATGAGTTTGGAGCTCACTGTAAGGGGAAACGTTTGGAGGTTTTGAGAAGGGGACGATGTGTGGAAACGCAGAGTTACATGAAACAGAAAAAGTCAATACAAACCTGATTGTAATGACGTACTGCCTTGTATGGGGCCGACCATGGATGCCAGAGGGGCTGACCGTAGAGGGAGATCAACCAAGTCTGGACTCAGCTATCCCAGGTGCTTTCAAGGAGCCGTTGCCTCTCGAAATGGGCATTTCCCCCCTCTCCTTACAGTTCTCCAATCTTTTTACATCTGTTGCCAACATTATCTCCTGGGCACGGATAGATGTATGTCATCTTCCATGACTTTGCATCCAAAAGTATTTCTAAATCTTGGAAACCCAGGGAAAGCCCCTGTCTGGGACTCCATTTCACATTTTCTCATCACCTCAAGCTTCTTTTTGCTCGGGCATGGACCTACGAGCTGCTTCTTTCTAGAGTGACAGGCCCTGTGGCCAAGGTCCTCTCAGATTCTATGCACCTGACTGCTTCCATTTTAGCACTTTTTATTCTCTTTTGGGAGCTCTACACTTACTAATTCAATGGAAAGCCCTTATTTAAAGAAAAGCGTGAGTGCAGTGTCCATGCGTATTTAAATAGATGAGAAAGAAGTACTAGGCAGCTTGTGAGTGTCCTTCACCACTGGAAAGGTCTATGTTCATCTCTATAAACTGCACACAGGGCAGTGGTGCCGGATAAAAACAACCAAAATAAATACATCCGACAGTTTTTCTCAGCGTGGCATACGTAATATCAAATACAACAGTCTTACCATCAGAGGTCCTCAGCACTTCATGAACTGCATAGCAAGGGAAGTAAGGCCCCAAACGAACTGCTGTTCAACTGTGATAAGCAAACGCGATACTGACAAAGCGAAAGCCTGTCGTCTGCTCTCACAGAGAGCTTACATACACATATATATATACACGTACGGACGCAGGCACGCACGCACGCACGGACGCAGGCACGCACGCACGCACGCACCAGGCACGCAGGCACGCACGCAGGCACGCACGCACGCACCAGGCACGCAGGCACGCACGCACAGTCGTCGCCCGCACAGACGTCGCACACTCGATGCACGCACAGACGCAGACACACACACCCCACCTGCTTCTTTTTTAAATCTTTAGGACATACAAATAAACTTTGCCTTAAAAATTGCCTGGACACAGTTGCTTATGCCTGTAATGCCAGCACTTTGGGAGGCTGAAGTGAGTGGATCATTTCAGACCACGAGTTCGAGACTAGCCTGGCCAACAGTCCTTGAACTTCGGGGTCGTCTGCCAGAGCAGGGTTTGGGAGGACCCACTGCAGTTCCCGCTGCTGTGGAGGGAAACGCCTTGCTCTGGTCTCTAAGCCCCACCATCTCCCCTCCCCTCATTTATAAGAATAGCCACACACTAACATTTTGGGAAGGAAAGGCACAGAACTTCTTTTGAATATCTGGTAACTAAAACAGGTTATGGGCTCTACATTGTCTGGTAATTGGGGTATATATTTATTTTTCTTAAATTCCCTTTAAAGAAACTTTATTTTATGGTTTTGATTTCAGATTGCAACCGTATAAAATCTGCACAGCAGCAAGTTCTCGGTTTTGCCAGTTGCTTTACCATTACCGTCATATAATCAACTAACTTTGTATGTGGATTTTGATGTAAAGTATGCATGTTACTTTTATGTGCATTTAATCATGAAGTTTAATTTTGCACATTTATTTGTAATGTTTCTTTTAAATAAAAGTGACTAATTTTGTTGTAAAAAAAAAAAACCTCGTTTCTACTAAAAATATTAAAAAAAAAAAAAAAATAGCTGGGCATGGTGGCTTAGACTTGTGATTCCAGCTAGTCCGGAGGCTGAGGCAGGAGAATCACTTGAATTTGGGAGGCAGAGGCTCACCATTGTACTCCAGTGTGGGTGACACAGTGAGACTCTGTCTCTAAATAAATAAATAAATAATAAACAACAAAAGATAAATACAAGGCCCATAGAAATAACTGACTTCAGTGCCTAGGAGATCATTTCTCTCCTGTTTCCTTCAGAAGTAAAGTCAGTTCTTCACTCAGAGGTGAAGATGTCAGAGCTCAATTCTTCCTTGCTGTATCTCAAGCTTAATCTGCTAGGTGTGTAGGAGATGGTGCCCCACAGTTGCGATGAAAGGAAGCTCTTTAAATAAAGCAGCTGTAGTCTGCACAATAGGATGTCTTGGAATCAACCAGACTTGCCCCCATCCCACCATGCTTTCTGAGGTGATGAGGATGGAAACAGAAAAAGAGGCTCTGGCGTTATAGAACCCTGATGGGCAGTGGCAAAGGATGGGACCCAGAACTGGCGGTCCTTCTTCTTCTTTCCTCCATTTCCCTCACTCATTGCAATGTAGCTGATGTGCATGTAGAAGGAGCTGTATTAGGTATGGATGCATCAGTTACTAGCTGCGTGAATTGTATAATTTACTTAATTTCTAAACTTAAGTTTATTCATGTATAAAACAAGGAAACTTCTTTCTTGATAATCTGAAAATTGCTACAGTGTGGTTGTAGGAACTCAGCATAGTACCTAGTAGACAGTAAGAGGTCAGAAGTGATAGCTGAAATTATTTATGCCTTTGGCTACTCTATTTTCTTCCTTCATCTATTCTTACCTTTCCTGCTCACCCATCTCACACCCTAACTTCAACCCAACCCAGAGAGGGTAAACTGATACTTGCTTTCACCTGCCAATGATTGATTTGTGAGATGGGCTGCCTCACAAAACCACTCTTAGGAATTTAACTGGATTTGAAATTTAAAACCAACTCTTATTCATTTGTGACTCAGACATCGCTTTGAACCTGGTTAGTTTAAGATTTTTTTTTAAAGATGGATATATGTTTAAAAAGCTCACAAGTCCTCTTGGGCACCAAATGGCTCTTTGTAAAGAATCCTGTGACAAGTTAAGTATAAATGAACCAGAAACATAGAGATTAAATTCCTCCTGAAATACTCCTGGGTGTGGAAATTAAGAAAAAAGCAATTGCAAGATGTCTCCAGTTTTGCAGACCTGCATGCAGCTGGCTTCCCTTAAGGCTGCCTGCTGAGCTGTGGGAAGAGCTTCGCTGTCTTGGCCAGGCCTCCGGGGTACCCCTGCAGCGTGGGGTTACTTATTCCTGAGATAGGGCAGCAGAGGCAATTTGATGGAGGCAACTTTCATTCTAACTGTTCTTCCGACAAAGCTCCTCTCTGGGGACCTCAGACTGGCACCTTTCACCATTGTTAAATTCACTTAAGATAAAAGCGACACCAGGCAAATGACAAGGGAAGAGCCATTAAGGGATAAGCGTAAGCAGTGACTGACAGGCAGGCTCTGCGAAGCGCTCAGCTGCCAGCCCCAGCCTTGGCAGGAATCATCACCCCGAGTGCCTCCCCTAGCCAGTGCTTGACAAATGGGCAAGATTCAGTCCAAGCCTACAGGCTCAGTCCTTTGTTTCCCAGAGCCTCAGCCTCCATGCCCATCCACCCGAATACTACCAGCCCCTCAATCCAGGAACAGCACCAGCAACAACGCAGAGAGGAGCCCATTGGTGCTGAAGGTGAGAGGCTGTCCTCTGCCTGCTTTCAGGTGTGTGCTTGCGGGTGGTGAGCCATGGAGCGTGGACTACGAATTCATTTATTGCATAGTTAGTAGAGACAATATGAAGATTGAACTCAGCAAACCATAGAAAATACACACCCTGCCAAGTCTGTCTTTTATACTGTTGTTTTTCAGTCCAAGTATAAAATTATGTTGGCCATCTTGGTCTTTTCTCGGGACTGTGCACAAGGACATGCAATGGCACTCTTTGCTGCGATGTATTCACCAGGCAAGCGGGCTCATATAGGTGTCCTGCAACACTGGATCTTAGTAAATTACTTGCTAAATCATGTTTTTCTTATTATTAAGGTAACCTCTTTTACTGGAAAAAAATTGAAACATACAAAAATAAAAACCTACAAAGAACAATGGCAATCACATAGAAAGTCCACAGTTGTTAACATATTGCATTTCTTAAGTGCAGGGTCTCCATAGAGAGATTGCATAGGGCCCTATTCTACACAGCTGCCACCTGTCAGCTGTGTGAGCATGAGAGAGTTACTTTACTTCTCCGTGCTTTCATTTCTGCATCTGTAAAATGAAGGTAAGTATAGAACCCACCTCATGAAGTTATTGTAAGCCTTAAATGAGTTAAAAACATAAAGCCCAGAACCCTACAAAGACTCAATAAATGTTAGCTGTTATCATGCATCAATTTTCACTAACCTGTCATTGTGGTTGTGATTCCATCATATCAGTGGTTCTCTGCCTGGGGAGATTTTTACCCCAGGGGACATTTGACAATATCTGAAGGCGTTTTCGGTTGTCTCAACTAGATGAGTTGGGACTGCTGTCATCTAGTGGGTAGAAGCCAGAAATGCAACTAATCTTCCTACAACGCACAGGATAGCCCTCAATGACAAAGAATTGGCCACACAAAAATGTCAACAAGTGCAGCGGTTGAAAACCCTACATTAGATTAGTACACACATTGTGACAGATCCCAGGTCCCACTTGCTCCGTGTGGATTTCAGCTGTCCCTCGGGGCATGTCTTGCAGAATCCTGGAGTCTCTTACATGCTTGAGAACACAACTCTCTCCTGTTCCAGCCTGCTTGCCATCCATGCTGCTGCTATTCTCCATAAGATGACTCCTTTGGTGGGCACAGTACCCTGTGCTGGAGAGAGGATGACCAGTGATCCTCTCCCAAATCTAAGACCCATTTTGTTCTTTAGATTCTGAAGTGGCATAATAGGTGCCCAGAGGCTAGCAGACTTTTACCCACATAGTTCTTCAGCTTTTCTCCCTAACTTCTCCCTCAGTTGAGACTCGAAACCTGACTCTGGCTGGGTTTTGAAACAGAGTCCATGCCATTGAAATCATTCCCTCCTTTTTCCCTCCATCACTTTGGCTATCTTCATCCCCAATATGTCTTTCTCTTTCTTGAGCCAAAAAACATAAAGATCTCATGAATATCAGTCTTAACAACTCATACAAATAGATTCTGAGGGGCAGCAAGCCAAACATATCCGTATCCCAGCAATATTCTTTCTTGTACACAAAAACTTAAAGATACATAACTTTTTAAAACAAAATCGTGATTTTACCACACACCCTGACACCTTACTCTTTCACTAAAGAAAATGGCATTAACACATTCAGATGTCATTAAATTATCTTCCATATCACCATTTATTGACTATATAGAATTCCATTTTGTCAGTATATAATATTTTGGGTTCATTCCCCTTTTATTAGACATTGAGGTTATTCCTCATAAGAAAAGCCACATTGAACATCACTGTAAAGCAGCTTTTCACATTTGTTTAGTACTTTTCTAGGATCAATTTCTAGAATATAATTTAAGGTTTCTTGATACATACTGTAGAAAAAAAAGGGTGACAGTTAGTTTTATGTATCAACTTGACTGGACCACAGGATGCCTAGATAGCTATTTAAACATGTCTTCTGGGTATGTATCTTCTTCCAGAAGATATTAGAATTTGAATTGTTGGACTGAGTAAAACAGTTGTCTCTCTCCAGTGTGGAAAAGCATCATTCAGTCTGCTGAGGGTCTGAACAGAACAAAGGGATGAGCGAAGGATGAACTTGCTCTCTGCCTGACTGTTTGAGCTGGGACATTCATTTCGTTAGGACTCCTGGTTCTCAGGCTTTTAGACCTGAGCTGGAATCTACACCCACTGGCTTTCTGGCTTTCGGGTCTTCAAACCACATCACCATCTTTCCTGGGCCTGCAGTTTGCCGATGACAGATTGCAGGGTTTCTCAGCCTCCACAATCACGTGAGCCCGTATCTTATCATCAGTATTTTTATCTATATCTATGTACCTATATCTATATCTCCTACTGGGTCTCTTTTACTGGAGAACCCTGACTAATACAAAAAGACTTAGAAACTTTATTTTAGCCAACAGCATCTGCCCACTGGAAGCACATTGGCATAGCAATCCAATATGAAAAATGGCTGGGAAAGTGAAGTACTTCAGTGATTGGAACGTATGTAGTTAGCTGAGAATTTCCATCTGCCAATATCATAAGTGGGAGGACTCTTTCTAAACACTTAACACTAAATTATACTAAACAAAATTCCATCTTCTTTGGACAATTCAAACGTCATTTTGATATGGCTGCTGCATGGCCAGCAGACTGAGGTGGGAGAAATTGGAAGCTGTAGGGAATCCTTACTAATGCAGGCAGCCCTTTCCTTTCTTGGCATTTGCTGGATCTAGGAAAGATTAACTGAAACTGACACCTTTAAGGGTCTGAAAAGATATTTACCGTCTATTCTCTCTGAGCACTGCTCTCTCTGCGGCTTCATCTACATAACAAGGCTACCTTTGCTAGCTAGGCTGGCCTCTTCCTTTTTCCTTCTCCCTTTCTCCCTCTCATAACCTGTCTTGCCACTAAACCTGATTTACCAAAATAACAAGTTTTGGGCTATACTCTGAGCTCACATTGTTTCTATAACCCCAAGATGGAGTAGAAGATTCTGTATCTTATCGTTGGCTTGAGTCTTTATTCTGAAGGTTCTTGTGTGTGCACATTAAATAAATTTAATTATATGCCTTTTCTTCTATTAAAAACAAGAGTCATTTGCAGTGGTTCAGGGTAATTATTATAAACTGATTTCTCAATGCAGAGTTTTAATAGTAGCCTGAGCAACACGGTGAGACCCCCACATCTACAAAAAATTTAAGAATTA